GAGGAGCTGCCGGTTCTCCCAGGCAAGCCCTGCGCCCACCAGCCAGCAGGAGATGGGGGAGATTTCCAGCTCCCTCCTCCAAGCTGAGCAGCCGGGATAGACTCCCCACCCCCTGCAAAAAGCTGCCTGAGAACCTGACCTTGCCCGGACCTCTGGTTGCGAGCCGGCTCCGCTGCTTTCACATGTGCCGCGGGACTTCTGGCTGGGGAGATCGAACACGAGAAGCCCTAAAGGCATCAGTGGTGGGATGCAGAGGAAACCGCAAGTGACACCTCCCCACACACACACACACTTCTGATTAGGGGTTTGGTCCAGGCTCCAGCCTGCACTGACCAAAAACCTCTTGCCACATGCAAAATTCACTGGCCGCCTCCCTCGGCTGCCCCTGAGCAGGGAGCAGGACAGGCTGGGGGGGCCCCCAGGGCTGGGTCGCTGCTCACCAGGTCTGTCAGTTTTTGCAGCGATCCCAAATTCCTGCGATTACTAACCCGTTCTGGGAAGCCTATTCCCTCTTGCACCCGTGAAATAAAGATAACTGGCGCAGACATCTGCTGCGAGCGACCCGGCTGCCGAGGGAGGGTGCCGTGCGTGCGACTCACCGGGCTGGGGGTCCGGCTGTGCCCAGACAGCCCCCCCGTGACACAGCCCCGCGCAGGGGCAGAGCCCTCACCCCACGTTTCCTGAGCTCTCTGCAGGAAAAGCCTTGGCCTCAGTGTTTCGGTGACCCAGGCTGTTGCAGCCAATTTCTAAATACTCCCGTGAAATGTTTATTTTGCAATATCTTCCACGAGCAGACGGGCGCTCTCTCGCTTAGCGAGTCTCAGCGAGTGCACCGGGGTTTTTCGTTCTCAAGGCAGTCTGGAAACTTCAATAGCAATGAAAATAATTAAAATGTTATTGTTAAGCACTAGCAGTTGATGTTGACAGTGATCAGCTGTAGGTGCAGGAGTGTTACCAGGGCTGAGGTGACTTGTCAGCCATTCCTGTGCCTTATTCAGACAGTCAAGTTCCCTCAACACCTGCAGCTTTTAGTTTGGGTTGGAAAGTTGAGGATTTTCTTGTGGCCCCGCACAGGTGGAGCTGGGGTTCTCCTGGGCTGAGTTACGTGTGGCCGTGCCTGGCATCACCCCCTTGTCAAACCAGGCGTTCACATCATCTTGGCTGAAAAACCTGGTCCTGACAAGTGGCTGATGTCAGGGGGACCAAAGCAGGATAAAACCGTGCCCCGAGCTGTTGAGTCCCTCTGCCCTTGCAACCTTGCTCTGTCCTAACACCAAAGGCAGCTTTCGGGTGTCCCTGGGCAGCCCGGCTCGGTGCTGCTTGGCAGCTCTGCCTAGGCTGGTCAGAGAGGATCGCTGCATTTACCTGAAGCCCATCGCAGAAAATAAATCTGGCTGTGCTATGGGTGACACTGTTTTTCCTTCTGGTGTTTCTCCTTTCCCCACGCTGCTAGGGTAACGAGAGAGCACAGGGAGAGCCTGGCCAAGCTCGCCAAGCAGTCCACCAACAAGTCCAAAGAGGCCCTGAGAAAGGTGCGAAGCAAAAGCATCAACCAGGTAAAGAAGTTCAAGGGCAAAGTGTCTGAAGATACCATCTGGCTGTTAGAAAAACAGGTAATTTTTTTTTTTTTTGCCCTTCTGCCATATCATGATGTTTCACAGCTCAGTGGCACATTTGTCCCAGCCCTTGCTGAGAAATCTCCAGAACCAAGAAACCTGCTGGGAAATGGGTAGCCCTGGGATGGATTGTTGGAGTCAGCAATGGCTGTAGTATTTATTTACTTATTTGCAGGTCTTCAGTCTCAAAGCCAAATTTATAATATGAACTATTGTAAGCTGACACAGAAGAAAAAAGTTCCCCAAAAGCTTTCGGACTACAAGGGATTGTTACACAAACCAGCTGAACTTAGGGAGCAAAGCAACCCCATCCACAGCTTCGGCACCATTTACACAGGGCCTGGCCACTGCAAAACAGCTGGTGTTAATGAGGATTGCTCCAGTTTGTTATTAATGAAAAGGCTAGCAAGATTATCTCTGTTAGGAGTTTTTGGCTCCAATTCAGGAAAATACTTAAGCACATGCCTAATTCCCTAAGAGCAGATGTCACTAAAGTCAATTACTTGGACATAAACTCAGGCACCAGCCTAAGTGTTTTGCTGAATTGGTGCCTCTGAAGGCAGGCCATTACTTTTTAGCTGTTTGTTTATTAACAGCTAAAGTTAGATACATTGCGAATGCTTCAGGACAGTTCTCTGTGCGCTCACAAAAATAAACATTGATAGACAGAGCGTTTGTGCAAGCAGGAAAAATGGCCAGGATATTGTAACCGAATCCTGTCGGGGAGCCGTTCTCCCAGAGCAGACAGATGGTTTTCTGCATTCGTAGAGGTACCGTCTCAAGTCTAATTTTTGCCTGCACCCAAATTTTTCAGCATGAGGAAAGGTCATCATCATATACCTTGGACCTTGGGAGCGAGTCCATCCTATCAGTCCTGTAAAACTAGTGCAAAACCACCACCAGCGTGCTCCAGCCTTTATCTGCGCTCACTCAAATGAACGTATGCACATTCTGGTCCCGTTTACACGCTTGCCATGTCCATCCCATGTTACCAGGAAACCGTATCCCTGGGCAGGGCTTTAACAATAGCTATTTCTTTCTTTTACCAGAGCTAAACAGCTCTGTTACTTGGTGTGTGAATTCTCAGCGTGTGCGAAGGCTGCGCTCCTGCTATTACCTGGTTGGTTCTAATAGTGGAAAGGATGCAGGAGGTGACGGGGTAAACCCTCTCTGCTCTGGTGCCAGCACCAGCAGGTCTGTAATTCTGCATTCCCCTGAAGTTGCTCTGTTAAATAAGGACCTGACCAAGTCAAAGGCTCTGAAAAGAGACACACCGGTCGGTTTGTTCTCACTGTGCAGATGCAGCACCGGCACAGAACCACGGGGGGCTGGTGGGAACCCCCAGGAAGAGCCGTTACTGCCCCAGCACTATTTTTAGGGGGTTTGTTAGGACTTTAGGGTTTGTTTCAGGGGTTGATCCAGTCTTAAGCCCTGGTATCACCTAACACACAACTCAGACTTATACTCTGTTGCCACAGATCCAGCAAATGGCAGAGAGCACCACGGCCGAGATGGACAAGCTGCTGGCAGCGAAGACCAAGGAGCTTCTTGGATAAACGCCATCCCAATGGACGCACTCCCCCTCCTCGAGCAAGGACAGACTGCCACCACCCTGCCCAGAGCCCGCAGCCTCGGCCGATGGGCACGGCTGGCTCTGCCAGCCCTCTCGAGCAGCTCTGCGATTCCCCACCTAGGATTGTGCTGGAGGGAAAGGGGTAAACTCTCCTTGCTGCTCTTCAGCCCAGTGGCAACAGAATTGGGTGAACTCAGATTAAAAATAAAATAGCAGGAAGGAGGACTGGAGGCTGCTGGAAGGGCACCAGCCTGACTGCAGCCTGGCCAAAGCAAGGACTCTGCGTGAGGAAACCCTGCGCCGTCCCACTGTCAACCTCGGCGTTTATTTTTGTTTAAAATAAAGTCATAATGAGATGTGGAGGAGCAGCCTTGGGACGGCCAGTTCCTCATTGATGTGTTGGGTTCACAA